TAGTCTAGTCTATAGTCTAGTCTATAGTCTAGTCTATAGTCTAGTCTATAGTCTAGTCTATAGTCTGGTCTATAGTCTAGTCTATAGTCTAGTCTATAGTCTAGTCTAGTCTATAGTCTAGTCTATAGTCTAGTCTATAGTCTAGTCTATAGTCTAGTCTATAGTCTAGTATATAGTCTAGTCTATAGTGTAGTATATAGTCTAGTCTATAGTCTAGTCTAGTCTATAGTCTGGTCTAGTCTATAGTCTAGTATATAGTCTAGTCTATAGTCTAGTCTATAGTCTAGTCTATAGTCTAGTCTATAGTCTAGTCTATAGTCTAGTCTATAGTCTAGTCTATAGTCTAGTCTATAGTCTAGTCTATAGTCTAGTCTATAGTCTAGTCTATAGTCTAGCCTATAGTCTAGTCTATAGTCTAGTCTATAGTCTAGTCTATAGTCTAGTCTATAGTCTAGTCTATAGTCTAGTCTATAGTCTAGTCTATAGTCTAGTCTATAGTCTAGTTTATAGTCTAGTCTATAGTCTAGTCTATAGTCTAGTCTATAGTCTAGTCTATAGTCTAGTCTAGTCTATAGTCTATAGTCTAGTCTGTAGTCTAGTCTAGTCTATAGTCTAGTCTATAGTCTAGTCTATAGTCTAGTCTATAGTCTAGTTTATAGTCTAGTCTATAGTCTAGTTTATAGTCTAGTCTATAGTCTAGTCTATAGTCTAGTCTATAGTCTAGTCTATAGTCTAGTCTATAGTCTAGTCTATAGTCTAGTATAGTCTAGTCTATAGTCTAGTCTATAGTCTAGTCTATAGTCTAGTCTATAGTCTAGTCTATAGTCTAGTCTATAGTCTTGTCTATAGTCTAGTCTATAGTCTAGTCTATAGTCTAGTCTATAGTCTAGTCTATAGTCTAGTCTATAGTCTAGTCTATAGTCTAGTCTATAGTCTAGTCTATAGTCTAGTCTATAGTCTAGTCTATAGTCTAGTCTATAGTCTAGTCTATAGTCTAGTCTATAGTCTAGTCTATAGTCTAGTCTATAGTCTAGTCTATAGTCTAGTCTATAGTCTAGTCTATAGTCTAGTCTATAGTCTAGTCTATAGTCTAGTCTATAGTCTAGATCTATAGTCTAGTCTATAGTCTAGTCTATAGTCTAGTCTAGAGTCCTAGTCTATAGTCTAGTCCTATATCTAGTTCTATAGTCTAGTTCTATAGTCTAGTCTGAGAGTCTATAAGTCTAGTCTAGATCTAGTCATAGTCTAGTCCTATATCAGTCCTAGGTCTATCTAGAGTAGTCTATAGTCTAGTCAGAAGCTAGTCTATAGTCTAGTCTATAGTCTAAGTCTAGAGTCTAGTCGAATCTAGTCCTATAGTCCTAGTTCTACAGTCCTAGTCCTACGTCTAGTCTTAAGGCTAGTCTATAGCCTAGTCCTAGAGTCGAGTCTATAGTCCTGGTCTATAGCCTAGTCTATAGCCTAAGCTCTATAATCTCAGTCTATAGTCTAGTCTATAATCTAGTCTAATAGTCTAGTACTATAGTCTAGTCTATATAATCTAGACTATAGACTAGACTATTAGACTAGACTATAGAGAATGTAGTGGTATACATCTGTGTGGGACTTGTTTGCAATTTTTCAATATCTTATTCAATATTCTGTAAAAGTAGAACCAACTTATTGATTTGCTTATGGCTGATATTTCAGTCATAAATGGTCTACAGTAATTTTGAGTACTAACCATTACAGTGGACGTCCACTAGTACGAATTATATAGTGTCAGGCCCTTTCGTAATACCGAAAAATTCGTATTATTGACAACACATTTTGTATGTTTAAATTCAATAATACACATAAAATATTGGATTTATTCATTTTTGTTTTATTTTCATGAAAAATTACATAACGGAACAAAATATAATAAATGTGTATTATTTTAAATAAATTTCTTGCACATAAACAGGCATAAAAGGGACACATTTACGTATATGAATTGTTAATTTTGAAAGTATCGTGAGTCCAATGGTTGAAATGAGATATATGTAGAAGGTTTTAAATTTTAATGTTTTTAAAAAAGATATGTGCCAAAGATAATTTGCAATTTACATATGTGTTCTAAAATGTATTAAAATTTTCAGATTACATAAACTTTTATTAGAAACTTGAATGGAATATACCACAATTCTCTTATTTATAATTTTCTCTTAAAAATTAGAATAGTTATTCTTAAACCCATTGTTTGGAATGTGGAGTCACACTATAAATATCATTTTAACTTATTAAAAAAATCCATCATTTAACATCGATGTTTATTACATTGTAAAATGATTCTTACGGCTTTTTCAATAACAGCGCTTTTGAGGCTTCAATATTGTTCTCACAGGAGTTATTGTCGGGAACTAATAAAATACTTTCCTCATTGGCGTTATCATCCAATTTAATTTCTTCACTTGGGTCATCAAAATTCAATAAAATAAATTAATAACACTAAATAATTGTTGATTTGTAAATATACATGCAGTAAATTGTGTGTATAGGATTTTTAAAAATACAAAACACTTGTAATAAATACAAAAAAAAACTTCAAAATTACTGAGCTTAAGGTGAATGATACCGAAATAATAAAATAAAAACTTAATAAAAACTTCATTCATACGTAATAAAACCAAAATTCCCATAAAAATGCGTTATTCGTACTATCGAACTGAAAAATTTTGACTTTATTCGTACTATAGAGTAGACAATGCAACAATTTTGCCATTCGTATTATTGGATATTCGTAATAAAGAGTATACGTACTATTGGACGTCCACTGTATTCTTGAATTTTAGAATAAATATACCATCACCTTCTCGCTCTCACTGCTTAGATCTCCAATGGAAAGACTGGGTGAGGATCAACTTTCGTCTAGTATTATAATAAAATTGAATTTCTCTAGATTTGGAAGCACAACAATTGATATTACCTAGAACACTTGATAACTTCTCCAGTTTACCAGTACAAATAGACTCCGTGGAGGTTGTTCCCAAGAATCCGGTTATAAAGATTGACTTTCTCTTCAGAAATTTGTCGAGGGTTAGACCACAGTTTAAATTCCTACCTATTGCTTTTCACTAAACAGTGACTCTATAGAATAGGAGAAATTTAGAAAATAATAAAATTGATTGCAACTCGTTATGAAATGCCAATTAGTGATCCTCCGTCTATTTTCAGAAATTAAACTTGATATATAAACTGCTCTGCCAGAGGTTCAGGAATATTGTGAATTGACCCATTGTTAGATCATGGAATTTCGCTTTAAGGATCGGTTACAACGGAAATAAAATTATTCCCACTTTTATTGATCATTCTGTAGTAAAATATTTGAACTTTACTACACTGTAATTCAAAAAACTTTTGTTTAACAATCAATCAATAATTTATTTTTCAGAACATTATTTTTCTAAACTTTAAATAACTTAAAAAAAGGATTTAAAATATCGAACATTTCAATATGAAAGAACAGCAAACCAAAGACTTATTGGCACCAAGACCAGTACATCCTACTGCTATACGGCACCATGGTCTATTTGGTTCAACTTTTGTAAATCAACATATGGTTATAGATGAAAGATGGTCAACGGGAGCTTTAATCGATGAATTTCATGGAATGGCGAATTTATTAAGTGAGATAACCTAACAAATAAATAAAATATTAATTTGAAATTCTTTTTATATTTACAGGTAAACGTTTGCTCTTCAAGAGTTTGGAAAATAAAGCCTATCGCAAACAACTGCATAAATCCGCCCGTAACTTACGCACCCAATGTCGTAATGGACGCACCAAATTGCAAAACATTTTGTATGGCAACAATGTGGTGGCCATACGCAATTATTTGATCAATCACAAGGACATGCAACGTTTATATCAAAAAATGCCCGTCAATTTAGTGGTCGATAATATTAATCAGCGTACGTTTGTCATGCGTAAGGAACGTGATCGTTTAGAACATCGTTTGCAGCAATTGAAACATGATTACGAAGTAAAATTAGTAGAAAGAGCGAATATCGAGAATCGTATTAAATATGAAAATGAATTTATTTTGGAAGAGGAAATCAAATTGCGTGAATTTCAAAAGAAAGTGGAAAATTCCAATATACGTTTAAAGGCCATTAAGACTATAAATGCTACATATCGTAAGGTCATACAAGTTTTGAGGCATGATGGTATATTCTATGAACCTATCTTAAGATCACTTTCCAAGGATATAGATGATCAGGCGAATTTTATAAAACATATTTTGTATTTGGGCATACCGGCGATAGCTCAATTCAAGAAATTAAATGAAGAGTATAGGGTGAGTTTAGAAACTTTAGTCTTTATCTCAAGGAATCGGGACTAGAGTTCTTTAGAATAGCAAATAAATTTCTAAACTGTTTTTCTTTCCCCCAGCTTTTGGAAGAAAAATCCCGCAAGAGCGCCCAACAGAAAATTCAAACTGTTGCGGGTTTCAAAAAAATTGCACCGAAACAAGTTCAAGCAAAAACCTCGAAAGCCGCTGATCTGGTGGTAAATGTTAGCAAACGTTATACTCGTGAAACGAAAAGTATGTTGAAATTAAAAAATCAATTGGAGGATATCGAATCGGTGATAAAACAAATTAAAATGGCAACCTTGTGCTCAAAGGCCAGAGAAATTTTCCCGAGGTAAATATTTAATGAAAAATAGATTTGTCAGTCGCGTCCATTTAATTTTAATTGGGAATGAAAATTTAATGAAATTGCGAATTTGAAATGAATAAATCTCTAATTGTTTGATAAGGGATGAATAAATAATACCCATTAGTTCCGTAACTAGTTCTAGAACGCTGGACAATAGTGTAGTATACGTTGATATCTGTAATTTTGGGTCGAAATTGTGAACTTGAGAACCGGTTCTGTGAAAGCATTTTGGAGCCAACACTAAATCTATGGGTTGGTCTATGCACTAACTAACTAACTACTAACTAACTAACTAACTAACTAACTAACTAACTAACTAACTAACTAACTACTACTAACTAACTAACTAACTAACTAACTAACTACTAACTAACTAACTAACTAACTAACTAACTACTAACTAACTAACTAACTAACTAACTAACTAACTAACTACTAACTAACTAACTAACTAACTACTAACTAACTACTAACTAACTAACTAACTAACTAACTAACTAACTAACTAACTAACTAACTAACTAACTAACTAACTAACTAACTAACTACTAACTAACTAACTAACTAACTAACTAACTAACTAACTAACTAACTAACTAACTAACTACTAACTAACTAACTACTAACTAACTAACTAACTAACTAACTAACTAACTAACTAACTAACTAACTAACTACACTAACTAACTAACTAACTAACTAACTAACTAACTACTAACTAACTAACTAACTAACTAACTAACTAACTAACTACTAACTAACTACTAACTAACTAACTAACTACTAACTAACTAACTAACTAACTAACTAACTAACTAACTAACTAACTAACTAACTAACTAACTAACTAACTAACTAACTAACTAACTAACTAACTAACTAACTAACTAACTAACTAACTAACTAACTACTACTACTAACTAACTAACTAACTAACTAACTAACTAACTAACTAACTAACTAACTAACTAACTAACTAACTAACTACTAACTAACTAACTAACTAACTAACTAACTAACTAACTACTAACTAACTACTACTAACTAACTAACTAACTAACTAACTAACTAACTAACTACTAACTAACTAACTAACTAACTAACTAACTAACTACTAACTAACTAACTAACTAACTAACTAACTAACTAACTAACTAACTAACTAACTAACTAACTAACTAACTAACTAACTAACTAACTAACTAACTAACTAACTAACTAACTAACTAACTAACTAACTAACTAACTAACTAACTAACTAACTAACTAACTAACTACTAACTAACTAACTAACTAACTAACTAACTAACTAACTAACTAACTAACTAACTAACTAACTAACTAACTAACTAACTAACTAACTAACTAACTAACTAACTAACTAACTAACTAACTACTAACTAACTACTAACTAACTAACTACTAACTAACTAACTAACTAACTAACTAACTAACTAACTAACTAACTAACTAACTAACTAACTAACTAACTAACTAACTAACTAACTAACTAACTAACTAACTAACTAACTAACTAACTAACTACTACTAACTAACTAACTAACTAACTAACTAACTAACTAACTAACTAACTAACTAACTAACTAACTAACTAACTAACTAACTAACTAACTAACTAACTAACTAACTAACTAACTAACTAACTAACTAACTAACTAACTAACTAACTACTAACTAACTAACTAAACTAACTAACTAACTAACTAACTAACTAACTAACTAACTAACTACTAACTAACTAACTAACTAACTAACTAACTAACTAACTAACTAACTAACTACTAACTAACTAACTAACTAACTAACGAACTACTACTAACTAACTAACTAACTAACTAACTACTAACTAACTAACTAACTAACTACTAACTAACTAACTAACTAACTAACTAACTAACTAACTAACTAACTAACTAACTAACTAACTAACTAACTACTAACTAACTAACTAACTAACTAACTAACTAACTACTACTAACTAACTACTAACTAACTAACTAACTACTAACTAACTAACTACCTAACTACCTAACTACCTAACTAACTAACTAACTAACTAACTAACTAACTAACTAACTAACTAACTAACTAACTAACTAACTAACTAACTAACTAACTAACTAACTAACTACTACTAACTAACTAACTACTAACTAACTAACTAACTAACTAACTAACTAACTAACTAACTAACTAACTAACTAACTAACTAACTAACTATAACTAACTAACTAACTAACTAACTAACTACTAACTAACTAACTAACTAACTAACTACTAACTAACTAACTAACTAACTAACTACTAACTAACTAACTACTAACTAACTAACGAACTAACTAACTAACTAACTAACTAACTAACTAACTAACTAACGTTTCATTCTTCCGAGTCCTATTGAGTATTAAAAAGAGATTGGCATAAGTCTGATGAATTTTATGTATCACTCCATATCTGACCCCACATACATACAGCTTTTCTTAGATTGTTATTTTTTTATAAATAAATCGTTTTAATATGTACATAAATATTGGAATATTTGTGAAGAATAATAAATAAAAACAATATTCGACTCGATTCCCCATAAGGAACCCAATAGCTTAACCATTACCTATTAACTTTCTTACATATTTCTTTTATTTCTCTATCTATTTCAGATTCCAATCACAAGTCGAAAGTAATTTCAAATTGATTAAACAAAACGATATAGGACAAATACATCATGAGTTCTTGACATTCAAAGAGAAATTGGCAGCGGAACAGGAGAGTGTACTACTGCATAATTATTCGGAACAAGAAGAAAAGTAAGTTTAAAGTAATACGGTACCAGAAAACAACTGAAATTTATAACCACATATAATTAAAGACGTTTGTTGTACATAAAATCTTTGGAGGAAAAAATCAAAGCTGAAGATGTTAAGGAAGAAGAAACTTTGGCCCACATAAAAACTCGAGCAGATGTTTTTGTTATATTAAGATATACACTTTGGAATTTATCGGACATCTTAAGATATGTAGATCGACCACCTAAAGTTTATAACATTAAATATCCTAATACATATTTAAAATTGCCTTTGTTGAAATTTGAAATGTTGACCATGAGAGCCTGTGCTCCCGAATTATTCGAGGAGGATAGTGAGTAAAAATTTTTATAATAATACATATTGTTAAATTAAAATTGTTTTGTGTTCAGCTAAATTAATATTAACTTTGGTGGAGAAAAAAACTTCGGACTTTAATGAAGGCCTTTAGTGAACTGACTGCCCCCGCCAAACCTAATGCACCGCCCTTACAAACTCTGGAGGAGTTATGGGAAGAGTATCATGTGAATTTCTTAACCAGTAAAGAAACTGATGAACAGCAAGAAGATATGGATCAGAAACCCCTATTGCCGGATGATGACTTATTCGAAGATTCTAAAACTGTGCATAATGTACCAAATCGTAAACAGATCAAATTACAAAGTGCCAAGATTGTGGAAGAACTTTCGAAGAAGGAAGACTAATTGAAATTGGCTGCAAGTAATTGAATCATTTTGTATGATTTTTATAAAAATATATTTTTAAGATTTTTTATACAGAAATATATTTTTTATAAAATAACTTTTTTTTAAAAAACAAAACTATGTTTTGCCAAATATCGATTGACAGGTAATAGATCTTTATAGTCCAACATTTAAATCCAAAGTTTTCGAATAGATAAAAACGGATTTAGAATTTTGAACATATTTAAGAAGTCATAATTCTTTCCGATTACAATAAAATCAAGGACATATGTATGTTGGTAGGCATTAGTCCCAAAACTACAATTCTAACTAAAATTTTTTACAATCCCTGGAAAATTGACAAATCAAATTTAAAATTTTAAAATTTTTCATTCAGATGGAAATCGAATTTCTATAAAAGCACATCCTATTGTATTTTTTATAATTTTTTATATTTTTTATACAATTTTTTATATAAAAAAAGTATTTGAAGATTTTTGGCAACATTTTGTGGTGGAACAAATTTAGACTTGGACTTAAGCTTAAATTAAAATTTCAATAAAATATGAAAATGAAAATAAAAGATAAACAGGTTTTAGCTCTTAAGCCTGTACGCCCAAGACCGGTGGGTCATCATGGATTTTTTGGTAAGCTTTTGTAAAACAGCATATGATGATTGATGAACGCTGGACTCCCGATTCATTGACACAGGAATTTGAAAAAATGGGCACGTTGTTGAAAAACATACGAAATTCCATTGTTTGGAAAATAAAGTAAAACAAAAGGCATCGGTCAAGACATATCATATGTTGCAGAAACAATGTCGCGAAGGACGCTCACATTTAAAACTACTACAGACGGGAGATCCTCAAAAGATAAGGAATATATTCAAGGATCATCGGTATATGCAGCGCTTGTATCAGAAAATGCCCTTGCATTTGGCAATAGAAAATATTAATCAGCGAACATTTGTCATGCGCAAAGAACGTGATCGTTTGGAATGTCGCCTGGAGAAACTGAAAAATATCTATGAACAAAAACTATTGGAAAGAGGAAGTATGGAGAACCGTATAACTTATGAAAATGAATTTAAGTTAGAAGAGGAATTACGCAGCCGTGATTTGGAGAAAAAACTGGGTAACTCGGAAATGCGCTTAAAAGCGGTGATGGCTATAAATTCTACTTACAAAAGGATTATACAAATTTTGCGCCACGATCAAATCTTCTATGAACCCATATTACTCTCCCTGGATAGAGACATTCAGGATCAGTCGCAATTTATAAAACATATTTTACAATTGGTTCTCCCGCTCTAATGCGTTTTAAGGAATTGGGAGAACAATATAGAGTAAAAAAATAGTATTTTCTAATAATGTTATGGGAAAATTATTGAGAATCTTTCGTTATTTCCAGATTATAGATGACAGGGCCCGTAAAAGTAGTCGTATGAGTATACAACAATGTAGCAATTTCCGTAAAATTAGCACCAAACTTCATCACAGAGAACCCAAACATCATGATATTGCTTATAGAGTAAGACGTTATGTTAGGGAAACCAGAAGTATGCTGGATTTGAAAGCTAAATTTGAAGAAGTCGAAGAGGTTATTAAGAAGATTAAAATCGCTACTTTATGTTCTCAAGAAGAAGATATTTATCCGAGGTTGGTCATGTTATTATTAAGAAATTCCCTTTGACATTAATTGAGTAGCGTAGTCTTTAGGCTGGTCAATAATCTACTATGGTTTCGTATATATTTTGGACTATAGTCGAGTCTATAGTCTGGACTATAGTGCAATCTTTAGTCTGGACTATAGTCTAGTTTATGATGTAATAAGTGCTTCCAGATCTAGTTTATAGTCTGGAGTACAGTCTTGTCTATAGTCTCGGCTATATTTTAGTCTATAGCCTGGACTATAGTCTAGTCAAGAGTCTGCACTATAGTCTAGTCTAGAGTATGGAATATAGTCAAGTGTATAATCTGAACTGTAATCTATTCTAGTCTATGATGTAATAAGTGCATCCAGATCTAGTCTATAGTATGGAGTACAGTCTTGTCTATAGTCTGGGCTATAGTTAGTCTATAGCCTGGACTATAGTCTAGTCAAGAGTCTGCACTATAGTCTAGTCTAGAGTATGGAATATAGTCAAGTCTATAATCTGAACTGTAGTCTATTCTATATTATAGTCTAGTCTATAGTATGGACTATGGTCTTGACTATAGTCTAGTCTGTAGTCTAGTCTATAGTCTAGTCTATAGTCTAGTCTATAGTCTAATCTATAATCTAGTCTATAGTCTAATCTATAATCTAGTCTATAGTCTAGTCTAAAGTCTATTATATAGTCTAGTCTATAGTCTAGTCTAAAGTCTAGTCTAAAGTCTAGTCTATAGTCTAGTCTACAGTCTAGTCCATAGTCTAGTTCATAGTCTAATCCATAGTCTAGTCTAGTCTAGTCTATAGTCTAGTCTATAGTCTAGTCTATAGTCTAGTCTATAGTCTAGTCTATAGTCTAGTCTATAGTCTAGTCCATAGTCTAGTCTATAGTCTAGTCTATAGTCTAGTCTATAGTCTAGTCTAGTCTAGTCTAGTCTATAGTCTAGTCTATAGTCTAGTCTACATTCTAGTCTATTAGTCTAGTCTACAGTCTAGTCTATAGTATAGTCCATAGTCTAGTCTATAGTCTAGACCATAGTCTAGTCTATAGTCTAGTCTATAGTCTAGTCTATAGTCTAGTCTATAGTCTAGTCTATAGTCTAGTCTATAGTCTAGTCTATAGTCTAGTCTATAGTTCTAGTCTATAGTATAGTCTATAGTCTAGTCAAGAGTCTGGACTATAGTCTTGTCAAGAGTCTAGACTATAGTCTAGTTTAGAGTCTGGAATATAGTCAAGTCTATAGTATGGACTATAGTCTGGACTATAATCTACTCTATAGTCTTGACTATAGTATATATAGTATAGTATAGTCTAGCCTAGTCTATAGACCAGACTATAAACTAGACTATAGTCTATAGTCTGGACTATAGTCTAGTCTAGAGTCTGGAATATATTCTAGTCTAAGAGTCTGGACTATAGTCTATAGCCTGGACTACAGTCTAGTCTATAGTCTGGATTATAGTCTAGTCTATAGAATGGACTATAGTCTAGTCCGTAGTCTGAATTATACTTTACTCCAAAGACTCGACTATATTCTGGACTTCGGTATAGTCTAGTCTGGACTATAGTCTAGTCTATAGTTAGGACTATAATATAGTCTATAGCTTAGACTATAGTCTAGGCTATATTCTGGACTACTGTCTAATCTGTAGTTGGACTATAGTCTAGTACATAGACTGCACTGTAGTCTGGACTATACTTTAGTATATAGACTGGACTAAAGTCTAGTATATAGACATGACTATAGTCTGGACTAATTGTTATATTTACAGAATCAAATACCAGATGAATAATAATACAAAGTTGAATTCAAAAATAGAGAACGATATTCTGGGGCACGAAGTATTGGAAACGAAACAAAAATTTGCCGAAGTACTACATGGGGTTCTGGTAAATAATTTATCTGAGGAGGGAATCGCGTAAGCTCGATTAATTTTATATATATTTTCTTAATGTAAAATACAACTTCTTTTCTTAAAACAAAAGTCGTTTGGAAAAAATCAAACAACTGAAAGAAGCCATTAAATTGGAGGATGATTTTCAGGAGAAGACATTGGCCCACATTAAAACGCATTCGGACTGTTTTGTTTTATTGCGTTATACTTTGTGGAATCTACATGATATTATGAAACACGTGGGCCATAGAAGAATACCAAAACTTAAATATCCTGTGGAATATCTCAAGCTACCCTTGTTAAAATATGAAATGTTGACATCAAAAGTCTGTGCACCCGATCCCTTTGAGGAGAATGGTAAGTTAAATGGTATTAAATAATTTGTTTAAATTTTTGCATAAATATATTTTTAGTGTCGCAATTATTGCATATAGTGAAATCAAAACTTAAATTATTAATGAATGCCTTTGGCTCAGATTTGTCGCGTGACTCTATAGATATTCTTAAAACACCTATTGTCATGAATTGCTAAGTGGCGTGGATAATGAGTCACAAATTATACAAGATTCGCGTTTTAAAATTCACGAAGAAGATGATTTGATAGAGGAAGTGAAATCATATCAGAAGATTTTAAATCGTCGTCAAATTAAAACGGCAAGCTCTCGTCTAGTGGAGGAGTGTATTAAAAAGAATGAATAAGGATACTTAAATGAAACATTATTTTTCTCGTGATTTATTGAGCGAAATGTGATTTATTTAAGAACTCTTATTATACATTCCTTTAAAGAATGCATTGATTTGAAACACATTTAGAAGTTTTAATTTAAGTCTAATACTTGTTTAAAATTTAACTAATAAATTAAAAAATTCCAATAACTTGATTTTTATTTTAGTAGTTGAACTACGTGTACACTTTCAACTGAATCTCACAATTTATGACTAAGGCCTGAATTATAGTCCAGACCATGGCCTCAATTACAGTTTAGATTATGTTCTGAATTATAGTTCAGATTATGGATAAAACTATAGTCAATACAACGGCCTTGGGCTAGACTATACAGTTGATTATAGTCATGATTATAGTCATGAGTATAGACTGGATTATAGACCCAAACAATAGACTAGACTATATACTGGACTATAGACTAGACTAAAGACTAAACTAAAGACTAGACTAAAGACTAGACTACAGACTAGACTATAGACTAGACTATAAACTAGACTATAGACTAGACTATAGACTAGACTATAGACTAGACTATAGACTAGACTATAGACTAGACTATAGACCAGACTATAGACTGGACTGTAGACTAGACTATAGATTACACTATAGACTAGACTATAGACTAGACTATAGACTAGACTATAGACTAGACTATAGACTAGACTATAGACTAGACTATAGACTAGACTATAGACTAGACTATAGACTAGACTATAGACTAGACTATAGGCTAGACTATAGACTAGACTATAGACTAGACTATAGACTAGACTATAGGCTAGACTATAGACTAGACTATAGACTAGACTATAGACTAGACTATAGACTAGACTATAGACTAG